ACCTCTTTCTGAGTCAACTCAGTGCAATCACACACACAAACACACACACACACACACACTTCATTTTTCAACTAAGCTGAAATACTATAGAAGAAATGTTTAAATGTATTCAAGTTATCAGTGTCACAAGTAGAACCCATTATGATATGCTGAGGTAGGTAGCGGATAGGATTATGCATTTGTGTATGTCGTAGATTTTAAGGTGTTTGTGTTTTCTTGCCTTGCATTGCATTACGAATTAGGGGTATACAGGGCACATGTAGTTCCACAGGCCCCATAAACTATAATTGCCCTCTTCTTACACGAGCCTTAGATTTTGGAACACAGGAATTTACTACCTGCGAGTTCAATCAGTGGCGATGCCTCTGTGCTGTTGGTGTGCTCTATACACTATTGAACATGGTTTTAAGAAAAACCGCATGCATGAATTGAGTGTTGATTCAACATTAATCCAAAATGACACGACGATAAATTTCAGGTGCTACAGGTACTTGATACATAATAAGGAAATTGCCAGTTGACATTATTTAAAGTGGTTGTGTTGCCATAGAATGAATATGGGGACATCCACTTGAGACCTGTTTCACAAAAGGCTATTCTGAGCTCTTGGTCGAAGCTTTAGCTGCTGAAATTAGATAGCCGGCTATGCAGCCAAATTCTATGGTCCTGGTCAAACCTCACTGTTCTTAGACAAACCAATTATTAAAAGATCAACACCGAACAACTATTGCTTTGGTCATAAAGGGGAAAAAGAACCTACCTCGATTTATAAGCAGTCCCACCGGTAACTAATCTAGTGAAAAGCTATGCGATGCCATAAATAATGTAGTGGCATACCTTTATGTTGTGCATTATATATAAATGATTTTATATGCCTTTTGAAGATGGCGGCGTTATCTTATGATTTGTTTTAAGAGTAAATAATTTTATTTCAGTTAACGGCTAACATTGATATTGCTTACCACCAATATTTCCTTGTCTGTCTTGTACATTTTAGACTGGGTTCCCATAACCTTATCAAGCAGGATCTATCTACCTCAGTGGGGATTCTAGAGCGAGGTAAGAGCGGTCTTCCAAATACCTATATTGAATGTTTTTAAAGTACATACCAAACCACGTATTGATACAAGTCCCCACATATCTTTTACCAAATATCAACAATATCAGTTAATTCATTACAAATTAACGTTATGGCTGTTCACATTGCTGTACGATGGATCGACCGTGTATGACGGGTTCTAGACACTATGCATCCTTCAACGGACTGTCAGTATTCATTGTGATGATTTAATTATTTCTATTCAAGAGAGAGAGAGAGAGAGAGAGAGAGAGAGAGAGAGTGAGCGAGAGAGAGAGACTCAATCAGCCTTTTTGTACCCTCTTCAATGGCCGCAGATTAATTATGTGTATATTTCTTCAGCGCCTGAGATTATCAAGTGAAAAATCAACCTGCGGCTCTGGTAGACGGTATCCTGAATGTGTATGTTATGATTGTAAAAGTTGGGGCAGTTTTACAGTACAGTTATTTTCACTGGTCATCATTTTGTAAATCCAATTGATTTCATGGCGGAGTCAGTGTTTATTTTATGTATTTTTATTGTGGCAGTGCAATGTCCTATAGTTTTTTTTCACTGGAGTCAGTGCATGGCCAGAAATGCGCAGCATTCACGGGTTGACGTTCACGCGAGGGCGCTACAGTAGTGTTTCACGTGACTCAACTAGCCAATCACAGCACAACAATGGCATTGCACACAGACTCTGTGATAAGGGCTCAGCCCATTGTCAAGAAGTGTTAGTTCATGGTAACAAGCGTCTGACATGTGTAGAGAAGTTTATTGTAATATATATTGTTCTTATGGTTACATTATTAAATCTAACTCTGTATCCAAATAGTAGCCTAAGTATACTGTACCAAGTCAGGTACTGATGATGTGCAGAGGTCATATATTCCAGAATAAGCCATTATCACTAATTTATAACTTTAATTTTGTTTAATATGTTATTCATGAAAGAGTTAATGAAAATTTATTTAAATTTGTTAAATCGTGATCTTATTCTTTTTATATTCAAATAATTGAATAATGTGGGTAAAATTGGTCTTCCACTTCTTATTTGCATTTTTCCTTTACTACAAGATTATTTTGGAACAGTTGCAGCATTAAAATTGAAAATAAATAGCAATCTGAAAGAAAAAATTTGCATTATTATTAAATGATGATAGGAATTTTGGATTAAGAGATTAGTTAAATACTGAATAGTGATATTGTCAGTCAATTTATGTAGAATCTGATAATATAATTGAAAATACTGATTGAATTATTGGCCTTGCACTGGGCAGTTTCACATTTGTGCCAAGTGCTTTTTTGGATTCCATTGTACAGTGGTAAACGTTCTTCAATTGCCATGAAAGTTTTTAATCAGACTGTGTATGGTGCTGCTATCTGCTGGTGCTATCGGCAACGAATTAGTTTGCCTTTGTTTCTGAGTGAATATACAGACTAAAATCACTATTTCTGAAAATATGTGCGTTTTGCTGAGGGTAGGCTAGGCAATACACGGCAAAAGTCTTAGTACGTGTGTACAACAGAGTTTTAAAAAAAAACCTAGCGATATTTGGTCAGGAGTTGCTTGAAGCATAGCACAGCGTTGCTGTCTATCGGCATCAGGCCGTTAGTTTGTCAATTATCACGAATTACCCACGAATCGCGAACCCATTCATTTTCCTATGGCAATCTAGCAACTCATTAAAAGTGCACGCATGCGCAGTGGGCTAAGCGTGACGTCATGCAGTGCATTTCTGGGGATGGACAATGCAGGATGATTGGCAATTCATCAACCAACTGAATAGATCAATGCGGATCAATGTGAGAATAATTTCATCAACGGTGTGATGTTACCTGTATTAGAATGTGTTCTTTTCTTCGGTCAACAGCTTAATATTGAAAAAAGCTTTTACCTCCAATATTTCAATGTCTAGCAGAACAAGACAATATTGTCCTAAGACAATAGGTGTGTGTGTGTGTGTGTGTGTGGAGGGGGGGGGGGGGGCGGCGAGTACATCTCCTGATTAGAGACTATTCACCTGGATAATTTACAATAATTTTTAATTACATACAACATTGGTCAAAAAGGTTGTCCCACCCCCATTTCCATGTACTTTTATTTACAAATGATCACCTCACAGCTGTAAATTGTTAGAAATAGAACTTTTTATTCCAGATACCGCACCTAACATGATTAATGGTTCCAAAAATACAAAATAGTGGTGAAAATATACACATTTTATAC